CGGCAAAGGATGTACCTTCAAAACTCAACAACACTTCTCTCAGAATCAATCTCGAATAGCTCAATTCGGTTCTGACTCAAAAGGTATCAATTCCGAATGACTCCATTCGGTGTTGACCTAAAAGGCATCAATTCTGAATGACTCCATTCAGTTTTGACTCGAAAAACATCAATCCCGAATGACTCAATTCGGTTTTAACTCAAAAGGCATCAATTTCGAATAACCCCATTCGGTTTTGACTCAAAAGGCATCAATTCCGAATGACTCAAGTCAGTTTTGACTCAAAAGCATTCTATCCCGAACGGCTCCATTCGGTTTTAATCTTACTCGGTTCTTCCTGGGACGAATTATTCAGTTATTAACTTATGCAATATACGGTTTTGCGTAAAACTCCCCGGATTTTGCAAGTCAAAAATATAAAGCACTAGTTCGGAATGAAAGAAAAAACACTACTTTTATTCAGAAGGTTCTAATGACCTTTTTCATACAAAAAAAAGAGGCTCTATCGGCCTATCGAAACACTTAATCTTCAGGTTTCACGGGGGCATCTTCTTGAATTTTCGGCTCGTCGCCTTGCTCGCCATCCTGCTCGGGTTGCTCATCCTCAGCCTCGTCATCTGAAGCACCTTGAGTCTCTTCCTCTTCAAGGGTGTCGTTCGGCTCATCATTATCAGGCACCGCCCCGGCGGGCATCTCCCCGAACGACATAAATGACCCCTGGTAAAAATCCTTGGTCATATCAAACTCAAAGCCCTCGCGAAAATGACCGAAGTATCGTGCTTGCCGAAGAGCATGACGAAAACCGGCCTCATGCTGAGCCACTATGTGATCCTTCGCCTCCTCCTTAAACCTCTCCAGCTCGGCCTGGGCCTCTTCGGCTCGGCGCTTCCCCTTGTTTTCTGCTTTTTGAAGGTCCAGCCGAAGAGTGTCGTTGTTGCGCCTCTGCACGTCTAACTCCGCTGCGAGCTGGCGGTTGGTAGCTAGGGCCTCCTCGGTCGTTGCACGGGCCTCGGCTATTGCTTTATCGGCCTCCTCCAGTCTTTGCCTCATCTGCATCAATTCACCGATCGGCCCCATAGCAAGTTGGTTTACCAAGGCTAAGGACCGAGACTGTAGTTCACAGTAGTATTTCCACTTTGATATTGCGTCCAACTGACTCAGTAACTCTCAGCCCTGCTTCGAGAAGCCCTCTGGCCGAACGAGTGAATCGGCAGACACACCTTCACCCCAAAAGGCCCTAGACATCAACCCAGGGGGGACGCAAATTACCGTTCCACCTGGTGAAGACACGGTTTGTTTTGACCTTTTGGTTTTCTCAGGCCTCTCCTCTGCAGTTTTTCTCTTATGCCTCTCCTCGGCCACTTCCTTCCCTTTCTTCCCTTTTTTATGCTTGCGAGTCGGCGAAGGAGGAGTCCGATTATCTTGTTCTGGCCGAGGCGATGGAGCAACCGATGAACTACCCATAACCCCGAAAGCTTTCACCTGTTGCACCCGACTGGCAAGGAGGTCACGAATGTTGAATTCGTTCGCACCACTCTTCACCATGATTCCTGCATGAATAACCAAGTGAACATCAATATGAATTTAGTTTAAGGCCGAAACTAGAAAGTCACTCACCTATCAAATCAAAATCCCATCGGGATGAATCGACCAAGTTAATTAGCGACCTCGTCGGCAAACGCCGAGGTAGTTGAAGCAAAAATTGGACGTTTTGTCGCTCTTCGGCTGTGAGAAGCTCGTCTGACACTTCATCATATGGCCGAGGGGCACGTGTCCAGTACAACGGAAACAAACTCCTGTCATCAACACCAAAGAAGAAACGCCGTCCGTTCGGCCGAATGGTCACTCGAAAGAACCCAACCTTGAAGTTCTTATAGGACGAAGTAAAGCTATCCAAAAGTTGCCGAGTCCCCACTCGGTTAAGAGATACCCACTTCGCCAAGTCCGACGGCCGAGACGAATAAAAATAAATGGCCGAATTGCTTCTCCTTGCCTTCAAGCTTGGTAAGCTTGTGCTACAAGCTTCTCCTTAGCTTGCTTCTTAAGCAAGCTAAGTGAGAAGCTTGCTCCACAAGCCTCCTAACTAGGTTGGAAGGTCAAGCAACCAAACCATGGTTCACTTGAACCATGGTTAAGGTTAGCTTGCTCCCTAAGCTACCTCCTTGTATATATTTGTAACTCTAACCTTTTTCCTCATTTTGGATGAATAATATTTATAATTTCTCTCAAATTCTCTCTTCCAAAGCCTTATATATCCGTGGAGAACTCTCTCCTCTAGGTCCCTTCACAAAGGTTTCCAACCTTTGTGCCTTGGTACCTCCTCCTTCTACTTTCTTGGGAAGTAACCGAGCACACCTTTGGTGTTTCTACACTATTGAAGACTCCTTCAAGGTGTATATTTCATATCATGCCCTTTAAAAAAACATTTATACATATGATGTATGTTAAACAAGACTATATGCGTGATCACATGACAACAATTCACGCCCATAATTGTACATCAATTCTCTTTTTAATTCATAATTACATCATGGCTAAGCCTCTCTTAGACTTCTCAACATATGACCCTAACATGATCTATAAACAACAACTATATAAATATTAAAGTACATCAATCAATTCATACATAACTCACAATCGTGTCAGTAACATACTCACATACCACAACTAGTTATCAACATTAATTATTACAATCATTACACATGTTCACAATTCAACTTGACAATTACAGAACATCATCCAATACACATCAAGTTGTTAACAATTAATTCACATTATAACTTATTCACAATTGTTCTTCATCATGATTTATCTTCCTAAACATTAATATAGGTACCTCAAACAATTCATTTAAGATAAAATACCTAAAGGGTAAAGTTATTCATTACTAACATTATAAATCATGGTTCTAGACCACGCCACTAAAACACCTCAAGTTGTAATCATTATAAGAACATTCATCACCATTATAATTGTCAAACATGAACTCAATTACTCCCTTATTGTTACTATATCGTATCTTCAAGCTAACCATTCTCAAGTTATCTCAAACTCATAAATATAACTCATCTTAGGCAATGGAGGTGATAAATGGGAGAAAAGATAAGAAAAAAAATGAGAAAAAGAGCAACAATATGAGTCACAATTGTGACTCACGGATCACAGTTGTGATGTCAATCACGCCCATGACTTGCTAGTTACACCTGTAATTGGCTCGACAAATTTCAAAGAGTGATCAAGATCAAAATATGTCATGGTCCTGACTCACCAATCACGCTCATGATGTTGGTCATGCTTGTGACTCGTCAGTCACACTATGACTAACTAGTCACAACTTTGACTCATCAGTCACACATGTGATGAAATTTGACAAATTTGGACCTTGTAACTCACCTCTTCATCAAAATTCATCGAAATTAACCATCAATCGACATCTACACAAAGGATGAGACTAGGACTTCTAAACCAAGTTATCCCCAAGGACTGATTTCCAAACTTTTAAAAAGGGGGTCTTGATGGACCATGGGCCAAGGGCCTAATCACTAGAGCTATGGCTAGGAGCATTCAAGAAGGAATGGACAACTTGAAGACCAGTGGGCTTTCTAAGCCCAAGGTACTCTTCATTTGGACCACTCTATCATGAAGAGAAGACATAGTTCTATTGTATATAACTTGTACATAGTTTTCATTGTATAGGTCATTTTTAGCCTTTGTATTTCTAAGGCACTCTATTTTCTTTTTATAGACCATTATATATTGTTTTTAGGGTAGGTTACTTGGAGACTTTGACTCCATTTAACCTTGTATTGAAGGTCACTCTTTTTCTATTTTTTCAGTAGTAGAAGTGGGGTGACAATTAGCAATGCTTGAGGGTGTGACTAGTAATTGGACCAGAATTGGGCCTAGGCAAAATTTTACATATTAGAGTTGTTTTGCTCCTAATTTTTCAAGGATTTGATTTAGCTAGGTCTCATCATTTTTGGATGAACCTAACTAAACCAAATCAAACTTTTTCAAAACCGGATTAGTGAGCAAACTAGCCTAAAAGGCTGCCTAGCTTGCCTTGGTTCCTCACATGGCCGAATTGCTTCTCCTTGCCTTCAAGCTTGGTAAGCTTGTGCTACAAGCTTCTCCTTAGCTTGCTTCTTAAGCAAGCTAAGTGAGAAGCTTGCTCCACAAGCCTCCTAACTAGGTTGGAAGGTCAAGCAACCAAACCATGGTTCACTTGAACCATGGTTAAGGTTAGCTTGCTCCCTAAGCTACCTCCTTGTATATATTTGTAACTCTAACCTTTTTCCTCATTTTGGATGAATAATATTTATATGTCCTGACTTGAGTGTCGGAGTGCCTTTTGCAGGTACCTCTCCCTCACCGGAATATTCGATCGGAGCTCTCGTTCGACCTTCAAAATACGAGAAAATTATTAGTGTGCCCTTCAGACAAGTACAAAACTCATTAAAAATTTTCATAAAATTAAATACATTGATAAAATCTAAAGTTTAATATATACATGTACTAAAAAAAAATCTAAAGTTGAATTAATTATACTTTACCTTCTAAATCTAAAGTAGTTGAAAGAATAAAATTAGAAAAAGATAATGAAACATAATTTTCTCGATGATAAAAAAATCCCCGAAAAAAGTATAAAGAAAAACAGAAACATGGTATGGTTTTCACATTTGACTATCTAGAGAACAGCTTTAGAATGACAGAAGTTTAGCCTCTCTTGACGGCGCATCTCATGCTACTCGTCACGCTCAAGTAAAACTCAGCAAAACCTCTTCCATGTTCCTCACGACCACATAACATGTCACTTCATTTTTTGTTCCACCTCATCACACTGATAATAAACACCACCTCTCTCTAGATTCTCTGCTTGTTTCTGCAATTAAAAAACCACACCGGTTCAGGTAATTTTTTTTCCTTAAACAAGAAACTGAAAAAGAAAAAGAAAAGTTCCATTTTCTGTGTTTTTGTTACTTGTTACATGGATGACCCTTTGTCATAGGTTTCGATTTCGTACCACATTATTGTCATATAAAAAAAATGTTTTCTTTTTTTCTTTTTTTTTTAATTAAATTAACTTGTCATGAAGTTTGTTACGAGAAATTGAGAGTGAGAGAAAGAGACACTTATACTCGCTCAGTTTTCCACCATTGACACATGCTTCATTCATAGCTTTCCCGCGAAATTGAAGAGAGAGAGAGAGAGAGAGAAGAGGCTGAGGCTGTGCTGGTGCACGTTCGTTTTCCGTGGAAATTCGTGCCAACATTTTCCGTTTCATTTTTTCTTAGAAAGAGAAAAGGTTTTGTCATGGCACTGAGCTTTCTGGAAAAATCTAGGCCAATTTGAATTGGTCACGCTGGGATAGGGAAAATGAAATGCTTGTCTCTTTCAGAGTCCAAATGTGAGATCTAATAATTGAAGTCTCTGTGCAAAGTTTCTTCTTCTTCTTCTTCTTGAGACACCGTTTCAGAGAGCTTTAAATCTGCAGATTTGTTTTTTATTATTCCTTTCTCTTGGTTCTTGTCTGTGCTTCCCCAATAATTTCTGGTGTTTTAGGCTCACTGGGGCGTGTCTTCTTCTGGGTTTTCATTGTAGATTTCACATTGGTTGTTCACTAAACTGTACAGATAGCAGGCCTGGTTGTGTCTATCGCATGTTTTGTCTCCACCTGTATCATCATTTTCTTCAACCGTTTGCTCTCCAAGTTCCTCTAGCTGTCCCTTTTTTTATTTTATTTTATTTTTTAATTTCTCTCTCTCTCAATTATTAGTTTTTTATTTTATTATTTTGCTTGGTTTTTTTGTTGCTCATTGCTTATTAAATTGCTGGGTTTTTGAGCTTCTTCTGGTGGGAGCCTTTCTGGGGTTTAGTATCTGCTTCTTGCTTTATTTGTAATTTGAGTTTTACTTGGTACTTGTGCTAATGGGTTACCAAGTTTTGGGTTGCGGGGTATCTTTGCAGTTTTTGGTGGTTGTTTTTGAAGATGCTGTGCGTTTAGGATTATTTTGCACTTGAAACTTAGCTCCTTAGTGAGTCTTCTACTGAGTTGACCCTGCTTTGAGATTTGGGGTTGGGGCAAGTTGCCATTTTGACTCCTAGTTTTGGCAGTAAGGCTGGAAGAGAAATTGTTTCATCACAGACAGCATTTCTGTCTCTTGATGTTGTGTTGAATTTTTGTTTATCAGTGGGATAAAGGATAGAGAATGAGTGGTGGCAGGAAGAGGAAGCTGCGTTTAAGCAAGATCTACTCATTTGCATGCTGTAAGGCATCCTTCGAGGGGGATCATTCACAGATTGGAGGAAAAGGTTATTCCAGGGTGGTGTTCTGCAATGAGCCAGATAGATTTGAGGATGGTGTTAGAAATTACGCAGACAATTCTGTCAGATCTACAAAATATACTGTTGCTACTTTCTTTCCCAAATCTTTGTTTGAACAGTTTAGGAGGGTGGCAAACTTCTATTTTTTGGTCACTGGCACCTTGGCCTTCACAAAACTTGCTCCATATACTGCTGTTAGTGCTATTCTTCCACTGATTATTGTTATTGGGGCAACTATGGTGAAAGAAGGCATTGAAGACTGGCGCCGGAAAAAGCAGGTGCTCTATTCTGCTTACCTATTTGTCTTCTTGTGAATTTCTTCTTATAAAGTCATTTTTGTTAACCATTTGTCCCTTCTATTTAGTTTCTTGGTAACATATTTGGAAGGGATGAAATGGAGTTACTAAGTTGTTTGTTCGTACAAATCCAGTTTTTGCTAAAGGATTTGAATTGTCTAAATTTATAGATTATACTGCAAGTGATAAACCCCATAAATATTTGAGGAGGTCAATTTTTTAAACAAAGTCATAGTGTGTTTTTCTTGTATTATATGAAAATCTAAAGTGTTATTTTTAATCAATGGTTACTTACCCACATTGAACTCTATTCTCTAATGTGTGTTCTGCATATGATAAAATAATATCTCTCGCTACAACTTAACGCTGTTACCAGACTAGAAGATTGTTGATAATTTGATATACATGCCAGTATGGTTGGAAACCAATTATTTTTCTAAAATGGCACCTAAGTTTTGTTTTTTTTGTTTATTCATTGGGATGTTAAATTTTATTAGTGCTACAATGTTTCCCTTTTTCTGTTATTTTTTTTCTTCTAAATGTATTTCTTTCTCTAATATTTGCATGGAATTAAAATAATAGACCAAGGTTCTAAAGCAATAATGGTTTAGTGTTGTATATATGATGACCAAAAAGAGGAGGAAAGGGAAGATAGAGGTTGGTTTTTGTGGCAAGCTATGATGTCAGTGTATATAATTTTTCTAGTTGAATACTTCTGCAGGATATATTGGTGAACAATAGAAGAGTTAAAGTGCATAAAATTGATGGTATTTTTGAATATACTGCATGGAAGAATCTGAGGGTGGGGGATATAGTAAAGGTAGAGAAGGATGAGTTCTTCCCAGCTGATCTCCTATTGCTTTCATCCAGTTATGATGATGCAGTTTGCTATGTTGAGACCATGAATTTGGATGGGGAGACAAATTTAAAGATTAAACAAGGGTTAGAAGTAACTTCTTCTTTACAGGGGGATCTCAACTTCCAAAAATTTAACGCTACAGTCAAATGTGAAGACCCCAACGCAAATTTGTACTCTTTCGTTGGGAGCATGGAGTTTGAAGAGCAAAAATATGCCCTTTCTCCACAGCAACTTCTTCTCCGAGACTCTAAACTTCGCAATACAGACTACATTTTTGGAGCTGTCATTTTCACTGGTCATGACACCAAGGTTATTCAAAATTCTACTGATCCACCTTCAAAAAGAAGCAGAATTGAGAAGAAGATGGACAGAGTCATCTATTTCTTGTTTTGTATTCTATTTCTAATGGCATTCGTGGGATCTATTTTCTTTGGATTTATAACTAAAAATGACCTTCAAAATGGGTCGATGAAAAGATGGTATTTAAGACCAGATGATTCTACTATATTCTTTGATCCGAAAAGATCAGCTGCTGCTGTTTTATTTCATTGTTTGACAGCCTTAATGTTATATGGGTTCTTTATTCCCATCTCTTTGTACGTGTCAATAGAAATTGTCAAAGTCCTTCAGAGCATTTTCATCAATCAAGATATCCATATGTACTACAAGGAAGCAGACAAACCAGCCCGAGCTCGTACTTCAAACTTGAATGAGGAGCTTGGCCAAGTTGATACAATACTTTCTGATAAAACTGGAACTCTGACCTGCAACTCAATGGAGTTCATCAAATGTTCTATTGCAGGGGTAGCTTATGGCCGTGGTACTACAGAGGTTGAGAAGGCCATGGATAGAAGAAAAGGTTCACTATCAATTCATGGGCATGATATTGAATTAGAAGAAGATGACATTAGGGGTTCTCTAGATAAAAAGCCACTCATTAAAGGTTTTAATTTTGCTGACGAAAGAATCATAAATGGAAATTGGGTTAATGAACCTCATGCAGATGTTATCCAGAAGTTTTTTCGCCTATTGGCTGTCTGTCATACAGCCATACCAGAAGTGGATGAAGACACAGGAAATGTCTCATATGAGGCTGAATCCCCGGATGAAGCAGCATTTGTGATTGCAGCAAGAGAACTTGGTTTTGAATTCTACAAAAGGGGTCAGACTAGTTTATCAACACATGAGTTGGATCCTGTTTCGGGCAAGAAAGTTGAAAGGTCAGTTGTTTCAAACTATCAATTGTTTTGTCTATTTGCATTTGGATATGAAAAGCTTAAGGATGGATACTCTTTAAGAAGAGCACACATGAAATTTTGTAATGACTTTCATCTGATAAAGGTAAGTACTTTTTAATAGAAAAAACTTTAAGTAGAATCTTTTACTATCTGATGATGGTCTAGTCATCTGCACATGACCAGTTTACTATAGTTGCTTATACAATAGGTGACTTTGTACTTTTCTCTTATACCTGTTTTTCCCAAAGTATTTGTATTGTTTTCAAATATTTAAAATGAAAAAAAACATTTAAATTGTGTCTACATTATATTTTTTCAGCTATTCTTTGTACTATTTAATAATAATGTCATTTCGCTTTATTCATGCTACCTAATGTTAATATTTGTAAAATGCAGTATACCCAACTTTGTTATTGTTTATAACTACTATGTTTCTGGATTTCTTTCTGCATGTCAATGATACAGATTTTCAGTAACTAGTTTCTTTTGCAGGAAATACAAACTTCTCAATGTTTTAGAATTCAATAGCTCAAGGAAGCGAATGTCAGTGATAGTGGAAGATGAAGAAGGGAAAATTTTTCTTCTCTGCAAAGGTGCAGACAGGTTTGTGATAAACTTGTCTGTAACGTTTAATGGTTTTGAATTCTCTGACATTTATCCTGTGTTTCACCCTATTGACCCGCCTTGAGTGATATTTTAATTCAGCATCATGTTTGAAAGGCTTGCCAAGAATGGGAGGCAGTTTGAAGAGAAAACCATGGAGCACGTGCATGAGTATGCTGATGCAGGTCTGAGAACCCTTATACTGGCCTATCGTGAACTTGATGCAGAAGAATACAAGGAGTTTGATAATAAATTCTCTAAGGCCAAGAACATAGTTAGTGCTGATCAGGAAATACTGATTGAGGAAGTATCAGATAAGATTGAGAAGAACCTAATCCTTCTTGGTGCCACTGCTGTAGAGGACAAGCTGCAAGATGGGGTGAGTTAGAATAAAAAATACATGTTTTACTTCTGAATATTTATTCATTGGAGCAGGACTCAAAGTGATGCCTCTCGTATTGTTTGCTAGGTTCCTGATTGCATCGACAAGCTTGCCCAAGCAGGAATTAAAATTTGGGTTTTGACGGGGGATAAAATGGAGACTGCAATCAATATTGGGTACTATTCTGATCATGCTTTTAGTACTATGGTTTCACCTCATGAATTATTTTCCATGTTATCTGACATAAATATTTGATTGCAGTTTTGCTTGTAGTTTGCTTAGACAAGGAATGAAGCAGATTATAATTCATTTGGATACTCCAGAAATTCAAGCACTAGAGAAGGATGGGGACAAGATGGCTATTGCCAAAGTAACATAAACTTCATACCTTAGTATTGTTTTTAACTACCATGATGTATCCTGCATTTGTAGTTGTAAAATATTTAGCAAGCATGCAATGTTCCTTCCTGTTGCATCCTCCTATATGTAGTTGACATGTCAGCAGCATAATCTGCTTTATATTGCTGACTATTTGAACTTATATTTCATTCTGTTTTTTTGAACAAAACAGATTGCTCAACCTAGATTTTTCTCTTATATTTCAGAAGATAAAAGAGTGGCAATGCATGCCTGTGTACTTTTAAGCTCTACGCTGTTATAAATTTTCCATCATTTTGTTTCTTTCCATTTATTTTTTTCTCCTTAAAACTTGTCTTTGCATCATTTGAATTGTGATTGCTGGTGGGTTAGTGTCTTGGTACTGATGCTGTAGATTTGAAAATTTATATGCTGATATTCTTTATGCTGATTCCTGTTTTAGGCATCAAGACAAAGTGTCCTCCTTCAGATATCTGAAGGCGCTGCACAACTCACTGCGTACAGGGGGAGCTCTCAACAGGCATTTTCTCTGATTATTGATGGAAAATCACTTGTTTATGCATTAGAAGATAATATGAAGAACATGTTTCTGGAGCTAGCAATTCGTTGTGCATCTGTTATTTGCTGTCGCTCATCGCCAAAGCAGAAGGCACTGGTAATTTTCAATCCATTATTTGTTTATAATACGCTAATCCTGATAAGGATTCTGGTTAGTTATGGTTACAAAAATGATTTGTCTTGTTCCTCTGTTTAAAGGTCACTAGATTGGTCAAATCTGGAACTGGGAAAACAATTTTAGCTATTGGTGACGGAGCTAATGATGTGGGAATGCTTCAAGAAGCAGATATAGGGATTGGTATAAGTGGTGTTGAAGGAATGCAGGTGATGTGAAAATTCACAAAATATTCTTTTGTTATTTTATTGATTATAAATTATGCATGTGGTTTTCTAAACAATATTTTTTCTGTCTTATTATCACAATCCCCCAGGCAGTTATGTCCAGTGATATTGCAATTGCACAATTCCGGTATTTGGAACGATTACTTCTGGTGCATGGACATTGGTGTTACAGGAGGATCTCTTCTATGGTATTTACCATGCTTATATTTAGATTTCAATATTATAGAGAATAGTTCTAGAATATCTTGGAAAGCTGACATTCTATTAACTTTTTTCTTTGGTTTTTATGACAGATATGCTATTTTTTCTACAAGAATATCACATTTGGTTTTACTCTATTCTTATACGAGGTGTATGCATCATTCTCTGGACAACCTGCTTACAATGACTGGTTTTTGTCTCTCTATAATGTCTTCTTTTCATCATTTCCTGTGATTGCACTTGGGGTGTTTGACCAGGATGTATCATCTCGGTACTGCTTGAAGGTCAATTTCTTCTTTCCATCTTGTATGCAGGTCATCTTTATTGTAACGGGTATTGCTCTGTCATTAAATAGATTGCACATAGAAGAGAAAAATAAAATAAAAAAAATCTGCATAGTACTCATGATTACATAATACCTACATCAGAACTAGCTTCAGGCCTTCTTGATTTTGGATCCTTGGTCTTTTAGTCTTGTCATATTTACATCAGTAGTGAATCTCATCTGGACACTGTTGGTTATAGTTGAGCACTGGCAGGTGTATGAACTTCTGGTAGTTTGTTTTGCTGCATGGAACACAGGTTCATATTGAATACTATAAGAATCTTTGCTGAGACGAAAGATTCATGTATTGCACAATTATTCACTAAATATCACATACCAGGAAGTCAACAAAGAAAGTTGTATATCATATTTGAATAAAACTTATTGTGGTCAACAGTATAGCTTTATATTTAATCTGCTAGAATTCATCATGAAACAACTTTGATTTTCCACTTAATGAATTAATCCAGTTTATATTTACTAGATTTAATTGAATTACAATCAACCTCAGTTCTAGAGGGTGGACATAGCTTTTGAAACACATCTGTCACATCACATATATTAAAGCCCGGGTTAACCCCCCTTGGTTGTTTCTGAATAAAAATACATTGAGCATTGATTTGGTTGACTTGGGGTTCCTTTGTTTGGTTCTCTGATGATGTTTCATTGTTAATGTAGCAGTTTCCTTTGTTATATCAAGAAGGAGTACAGAATGTCCTTTTCAGCTGGCGTCGAATACTCAGCTGGATGCTTAACGGACTTATCAGTGCCTTAATAATTTTCTTCTTCTGCACAAAATCTATAGAGCTCCAGGCCTTTGATGTGGAGGGGAGAACCGCTGGAAAGGATATACTGGGAGCAACAATGTATACCTGTGTAGTTTGGGTTGTAAACTTGCAAATGGCACTAGCTATAAGTTACTTCACCTTGATCCAACATTTTTTCATCTGGGGTTCCATTGGTTTCTGGTATCTTTTTCTTCTGGTATATGGAGCAATGCCTCCGCACTTCTCTACAAATGCTTACAAAGTCTTCATTGAAGCTCTTGCTCCCTCCCCATCCTATTGGATTGTGACATTCTTTGTGGTGATATCAACCCTTATACCATACTTCTCATACTCGGCAATTCAGAAGCGGTTCTTTCCCATGTATCATGAAATAGTACAATGGATAAGGTATGACGGGAATATTAAGGATCCTGAGTTTTGTGACATGGTGCGGCAGAGATCATTGCGGCCAACAACTGTGGGTGCAACAGCACGCTTAGCTGCTAAGGCTCACCACATTAGAAACAGAAATGTTAACCGTAGATAAGATATTTTGACAAATTAACCACCAAAGCATGTAGTTTGTGCATAGCTTCTTGAAAATATGTTTTTTGTCTTTACATGTGTCCATAGAATTGCTTGCTGGCTCCTCTAAACCAGAAGAATGTTGCTTAGATCCACATCCATGGTGATTACATGGTGCACAGCACCAACATTTGGCGCGGATCTTGAAAGGGAATTAAAATTGTATATCTGTTTCAGCCATTTGTGCTGCAAAGCATTCATTACCCTCTTGTATCATAGTAGTTACTGTATAGAGACGCAATAATTCTTTGTAGGATTGATTAGAGCTGCTTGCTATTGTAGAAAACAAAGTTATCCTATTACTGAAGTTCATTTTTGTGTAATCATCTTATGAATCCTAGTCTTATTTCCTTGTTCTATACATTTATTTACTTATTTTGGTTCCAACTGAGAATATATATATAAATCAGCTGCTTTATGTTAACTCCCCTGTACTTAATAGATCAAGGGAATTTTTAAATTAGAATATTTGTGGAGGAATAAAATATAAAGAACAACATCAGCTACATACCTATAGCTTGAACCATCTGAATTTTTTTATTATTAATAAATTGTTGCTGGGAAAGTTATTCGTCGAAAGCTAGTCTTGTAATGTAGCGTCCAAAGAGTTGTTCCAACTCTTTCTGAACCTTCCTATTGAATTTAGAGAGTAAATATAATTTTTTTTCTTCCTTTTTCTTGTAGGAAATAGTGCTTAAGTTTTGCATGATTCTTGAGAGACTTGGCGAGGATTATTCTTACGAATTGGAGTTTTTTTTTTTTTTTCATTCTTTTAGAATGTAGGACATAACTTTTGCATATCACTATGTATACAAAAATATAGAGGGGTTCTTCTTGATATACTTCTACAATCCTACCTATGATTTATAACAAGTGATGCAACTTCCTATATATATATATCATAGCAAGGAAAAACCGCGGAAGCATTCATCTATAGTTTTCTGTAACACGATAGGTAATGACAAAACCACAGTCGCGTTGGAATTTAAAATCTTGGCTGAACATTCGCGAATGTAATTCGTCTCACCTTCTCACAGTAGAGTTTGAAAGATCTTTCATTAGTTAGTAATTGATTGTGGGCAAACGAACATTCAAGGAAGCAATATTTCGGATTTATCAATTGCCCACAATTACTTAGAAGATCCCCGGAAATCAAATGAAAAAATAAAGAAGAAAAAATACTTCACCCTTCATCAAGGAAAATCCAGACATAAAGAAACCAAATTATCATGTCCCCGTTATATCTAAATAAGATACGTCGAAGCTGGGCTCGTTCGATCTTTCTCTTGCATGCATGCGGAAAGAAAAACGTACGAAAACCAAAGCCACAAAAATGCAGACACGTGATTTCCAATTCTTAAGTGTATGTTTGAAAAACGTTAAATTCAAAGTAACCCACCTTTTCTTCAATCTATTGAACATTAAAATGTACAAAGATCTGTTTGGAGGCATGCATTTGAACGTAAAATCAAACACATTCTAATTAATATAAAATATAATTACATTACAATTTTTTTATTCATTAAAATTACAATGACAACGTCAAAATTCGAACATAAAATCTTATACATTCTACCCAACCTGTTTTATGTTACAAATCTAAACCTTAAAGAGAAGAAACGAATTTTGTTCAGGCGACCTTGATGCCGAGGAAGTCGGCGGCGGACTTGGCCATGAGGGCGGCGAACTCGTTAAAGCTGATGACGCCGTCGCCGTTGCTGTCGGCCTCGGCCATCATGGAGGCGAGTTCGCGGTAGGTGAGGGGGTGACCCATCTTGGCCATGGAGCCGGCGAGCTCGGAGGCGGTGATGTAGCCGTTGCCGTCGCGGTCGAAGGAGCGGAAGACCTCCAAGAGCTGCTCCTGGTTGATGAGCACGTTCTCGTTTATGTCCGGCATGATGGCATGCACGAGCTCGTCGAACTCGATGTAGCCGTTGCCGTTCTCGTCCATGTTCGACAGCAGCGCGTAGATCTCGTCGCCGGTGGGTTTTATGCCCAGCGACCGGAGCAGCGCCGCCAGCTCCAGGTGCGTCAGGCTGCCGTCGGAGTCCATGTCGAAGCGCTTGAATATGTCGTTCAGTTGCTTCATTTGCTCGCTCTCCTCCATTGACATATCGTTTCTCGTTCGTCGAGGAAAACCAGGTCGTGAATTAAGGTTTACCTAGCTCAGGTCAGGGGTGTCACTTTTTTATTTTTATTTTTTTATTTTTGGTTTTGGTTTATGTGTGTGACAATGGTCGATTATCGATGGATCGTGCGCGCTTGGCAATTTGGAATGGTTCAACGGGGTGGATTGATTTGATGGAAACTAACCGCTTAGTAAAGTCGTTTTGATTCAACGTCAACTCGTTAACTGTGTAGATAGATAGATACATCCTCTCCGGGATAATTAAGGTGCTATATTTAATGCATGTCTGGTTGGAATTATTATCAACAAAGTAGGAATTGTTTTCAAAATGTTCGATTTTTTGGATACTGTCGAATCATCTAATCACATGGTCAAATTTAACTAATATCAGTATTTTGAGAGAATTAACTGACTTTTGGATATGGTAAATGATCATCAGAACCAGATTTTGCTTACCTTAAATTTAGGAAAAATTGACGGCTGAGGCTTTCCAGCTGATACCACTAAAAGTGGGGCCAGGCTGGCTTATAATCCGATAGCAATGGATGAGTATGACCTATAGCTTACTTGTGAGTATACCGTGCAGGTAGGTCAAAATTTTTTCTAGAAGCAAAAACTGAATAACTCTTGATTCGGGTTCCTGCATTATTTATTTATTTTTCACGTATTTAATATAATTTGGAATTATTGGATGGGGATAAGATAACTCATATTTTATTCCAGTAAATTGAATGTATATATGTAGTTTATATTAAACTACATAAATTATATTTTCATCTCACAATTACAATATATATATATAATTTAAATTATTTAAAATTATTAAAAAACCTTCTTTATAATTCAACATCTTCTCAAAGTTGATACGACCAAAAACATTGAATTAAACTAGTTCAGAACTTCGAATCAGATTGTCACGATTGATTGGATCAATCGAATCAGTTGGAGTCATTAAAAAACCCTGTTGTCACTGGTCAAAGCTACAAGAGAGCCTCCCTTAAACAATACTGAGCATCGTTGTTGTAGGAAGGACTGGGTAAGTGATGAAGTTGTAGAAGCAAATTAGGGCTTTGAAATCTGCGAATGCACGATTTGCCTGCCTTTGTCGATGACCCATCTAATATGATTGGATGGCCCAAGGAGCTTGGCAATGATGTGGTTCCTATCCTTGTCGTCATGTGCATCCTCAAAGACGACGCTTTGGTGGATTTGGGAGTGTGCGAGCGAGATTAGTAAATTATTTTGAAGTTAATTATTTTTTTTCTCATGTGGATCAATGTTTGTTTCCTAAGAAAACTAACATTAAAAATATGAAATAAACTAGTAAATTTTTCTATCCTATCATCTTTATTGATAATATGCACGATTTTCCTTGTTTTTCGTAGTCTTTCAATATTTTATTTACTTACATTTTTTTACAATGTGAAAATCACATATAAAGCAAATGAATAGTGTGTACAACTCAGCCAAAACAAAAACAATAAATATAGATAAATAAATTTAGTACAAAATATATGTAGTCCCCCATGTATTGGAAAAATCTACAAAATATATGTAGTCCCCCATGTATTGGAAAAATCTTCAAATTAGTCTTCTAATGAAGTAAAACTATGGAAATCAAAAAGTGATGAGTTTTTTTAATTAATGCCATTACTTACAATTTACACTATAACCTTTTTACAAGAGGTGGAAGAGAAGCATCTTGTTTCTTATTGTTAAGTGTATAACAAAGTTCATAAAAGGAATGATGGTGAATTTTTCTTAACAAAGGCATAAAACTTTATTATTGTATGTGTTTTTGTGTTAAGAATGATTACTTTTGTTAAACTATTGCCATTTTACTATTTTTTTTTTTGTAAGAAACATATGATGAATCAGTGACACAAAAATATGGAAAGGACACTTCATCTCATCACCTAGTAGATTTTGATCTATGATTAAAAGCTACAGGTGAAAAAAAAAGTCCATGACGTTGGTTATAGCTTGGATCTTATCATTAGTAGCTCTTCATAAGTTTCATCTTTAGAGGTTGTAGGTTCCTTTCATAAATCCTACACCTATGCTAGAAGAATGGGTCATTGCAATTATAAATACAACATTAGCTTCTTTTTTGCAGGCATAGTTGCTAGAGATGATGAGGAAGATAATTCAAACAATCCAACCATCAACAACATCATCAACCAACCAACCTAGGAAGGATCAAGGATATGATGGTGATTTTACTAGCTTAGGTTGATTTTATATGCTTAAGTTATTACTTATAATTTAACTTATTTGTTTTTTTACAAGGCATTGATCAATTGAGGTTTTTAAGACATTATTGGCAAGTTGGGTTTTGTAAAACATTGAGTAGTTTGGTTTTAAAACACATGTCACTTCAAAGTTTTATTTTTAACTCAAGTTCTTTTTGATAAATTTCTATACCTGATTTAAATCAACTTAATTGAAGTATTTAATGTATTTGATAAATTTCTTTGAATCCACAAAATAATAAATGAAGTAAAAAATTCCTGGGAAAATTTGATAGATTAGTTAGGATCAGGATCGTTTAGTTGTATTATGTGACAGATTGACGAGGGATTAACAAAGGAATGAAATAAATATATTGTGAGGCATTTACGAGTGATTTGCCAACATTGTTTTGTGAGAGATTAGCGAGGATACAACGAGAGATAATTATGAAGGATCAATGACGGATTAGCAAAATAATACAATAAATATATTGTGAAGGATTAGTGAGGGATTTGCGGGCAGTATTTGCAAGAGAGTAACAACCACACAATGAGGGATAATTGCAAAGCATTGGCAAGGGATTAGTGATAGAATACAAAAAAATATATTTGAGAGATTAGTGAGGATACAACAAGAGATAATGACGAAGGATTGGTGAGGGATTAATGAAAGAATACAATAAATATATTGTGAAGGACTCACGGGGGATTTGCAATAAGCATTGTTAATTGCAAGAGAGTAGCGGCCACACAATAAGGGATAATTGCAAAGAATTAGTGAGGGATTACCGAAACAATACAACAAATATATTGCAAGGTATTTGCAAGGAAATTGTAGGCAATGTTTGGCAAGGGATTAAAGAGGTCACAACGAGGCATGATAGTGACAGAGTAGTGGAGGTTTAACAAGGAAGTAATAAACAAAGCTTTGTGATGGAATAGTGATGAAATAGCGAATGATATACCTTGCAAAGGCTTCGCAGGGCGATAACAAGGAAACTTTAGCGAGGGATAAGATGAATTACATCGATGAGGCAATAATAATGAATTAGTGACGGAATATTGGGACGGACTAGCAACATAATTTGCAGGGGAACAACGAGGGAATTTGCAAGGGATTAACAAGAGATTCAAGGCCATCGCGATTTAGCAACTTGAATTTAGAGAAGGAACATTCCTTCACAAATCCCTTGATATTCCTTCACCCTTTAATTTTGTGAGGGATCATTCTCTCTGTAATATGCAAATCTTTTGTAGTGTAGTGGGATATTAACTTTGGCTTGATATCAAATCAATTCTAGAATAAATCACTAGAAATTTGCAAAGAAAGTTCTTAGGTATTTACAAGGCACAAAGGATTACATGCTTATATATAGGAGGTCAAACATCTTGAAGTGGTTAGATATTCAAATTCAAACTATCTTGGATGTGTGGACTCAAGGAACTCTACATTTTGGTACATTTTTCTTTAGGTTGGAGGAGCATTTTCATGGAAAAGTGCAAAACAATTCGTGATTTCCACTTCTACCATGGAGGTTGAGTTTGTGACATACATTGAGGCCACAATTCAGGCATTATGGTTACTTTAGGATTTAGCATTGTTGACTATATAGCCAAACCAGTGAGATTTTTTGTGATGACTTTGCAATTGTGTTCTTTCCTAAAAATGACAAATACTCTAAAGGACCAAAATATATGCATTTAATTTTTTTGTCAATTAAAAAAGAAGTGAATAAACATATATAAAAGTATCGATTGAGCATATTGGTACAAAAGTTATGATGGTGAATCCTTTGCCTAAAGGTTTACCACCTAAGATATTCATCGATCATGCCGAAATGATGGATGTTATGGATAAGTCCTTGTGAAGAATGTAGTGTGATGTGTGTGTGTGTGCGTGTGTGCGTGTGTGTGTGTATATATATATATAGATAAATAAATAAATATAGATATATATTATAATTATAATGCTCATATTGTATAACACTAATGAATTCAATTATAGTTGTTTCGTTTGTCTGGTTGTTCACTTATATGGTATACATTATTATTTTAGTGAGATGATAAAATGTTTTAGAAAGGATAATAAATACACATGTTATGGTATTAATTAAAGTTAAGTTCAATTGAATGATTCGTGAAAGAAACCAAGTTCTTAAGATAACTTGCAATCGCTATGATTCAATCGTTTTAATTTAATTAAGGATGGTGACTTGTAATTTCAACCTACAATGCACACTTATAGACTAATGTTGAATCTTCAAGTCATCACATGAACCAAGTGGGAGAATGTTAAATTTTTTAATCTAATAATGACTCATGTAATTAGTGAATGACTTTTAATAAAAAGATGTTGACTAATGTGATGGTTATTAGACTTGTACTATCCGTACTCCGAAGCCGAGCTCCGAGCTCGGTACCACAGCACGAGCTGATCTCGGACACGCGCTACGTGGCGTCAGCTCGGCACTTAAATAGATCGTAACCGATCTCAGGGAATCTCGGTCTAGGCGAGATTCTCTACCTAATCAAATCACAACTAATCTCAGGCCCAAGGCCCAACGCAACCCTAATATACATCAAGGTACGTGCATTATATATACGAGATTCATACTCATACAAATCCTAACTTTAGCATCGGAGTCTCTTTTGCAGGTACCACCCCCATCTTGGAGCATCAAGCGTACCGGCGAAGGAGGCTCACCAATCTTACTCAGAGGATCATCTCTACAGCAGATTTCCGGTAAGAACATTTGGCGCCCACCGTGGGGCCGATCAAGACAGCTCTTATCGGCCACGCTTATGGTATTCACCAGAAGCCATAGCAGACGCGCAACAGACAACGCATATTACTCAACTACCATGGACAACGAAGCCACATTAAGGAGACTGATCGACCAGGTCAAACAGATGCGACAGCAACACGACGCTGATCTGTGAAACATGCGTGCCCAGCACGAAACCGACCTAGCAACGACGCGAACTGCCAATGAAGCCGACCTGGCAGCGCTACGCA